GGGAAAGAGCACTAACTTTACACATTTTTAAAGGAAGTTTTCCATCTAATTCAACGACATTCTTACTTTAAGTTAACAAGAATTCAAGTAAAACATACTATGCCCAAGAAGTAATCTTTGCTTAAGCAGTAAAGCCAGTGCTGAAGAAATATGCCACAGAACTTGTAAAAATTACTTGATCCACTGAAATATCATCCATTAAAAGCACAGAATTGACAAAAAGGAGCCTTGTAAATGTTTTAACACAAACAAAACGCAAACCAACTGCAAATATGTTAGTCTCTCCAGCTCTAGAGGCATACAAACCATATGTCATGTCTGGCTTTGCATCATTGCTGAAAATTACTGGAAAATAAATAAAAAGCACAATTACAGAACAGAGATCATACCCTAGAAATGCCTGCAACTTTTTCCATCCTTGAAATAATGCTAAAAGCTACATTGACTCAGCTACACATGTAATTACTGCATTAGTACAGCAATAAATTTACTACCAGAGTCCTGCCTTAAGAAACTAGTCCTGACTACTCAGAAAGAGCAGATCAGCAACAAAGAGAAGTGAGTTTGGATCTCCTCACCAAAAGAGGCTAAAAGCCATAGTTATCTATGGCACCGCAATAAATGAACAAAAGCTTTAGCTAGCTAAAAGTCACTAGAACAAAGCTTCACTATACTACCAAGGCCACTAAAAAAAGAGTGGACCCCATTCTACATGGCACCAGCTGGCATTATTTCAGTTCATTTCAAAAAAGATCATTTGTCTTTCCTTAAAATGCCAGACATTGTACTGCAGAACATCCAAGCAGCCTCAAAATATTTTTCTGTTGGAGAAACTATTTGCAACTTGAAGATGGAAAAAAAAAAAAAATCTGTATTAAAAGGCAAAATACTCCATCATAAAGCCTTACATGCATAAATGAGAAATTATACTAATGCTCTGTACAAGTGAGAAGTATATTACAAGTCAAACATATAATCCAATTTTGGATGCTAATTCAGTACAAGAAACAGTCCAGGTTTATTATGAAAAACTCTGAAATATAGCTATTCAACTGGCAAAAATATTATGCTAAAGAAAATTTGCTAACGTATCACTATTACAGTAAATTTGGACTTCATAGCAGTGTTTTTATGGCATTGACTGTAATACTTCAAGGCTATGTAGCTACATTGTTTACTAGGTTGGAAAAAATGAATCACAAGAAATATATTAAGCTAGTAAAAAGGGGAGGGAGCATCAATTACTTTTCTGCATGGAAAATACAGAAAGTACCGTGCTAAATTTAGGGATAAATGAAGTTGTATTTTAAGACTATCATAAGCAAGTAGAAGTGGAATTTAATTTTCTGTTTCCAGTCCAGAAATGGATTTCATTGCTTCATCATGAGTTTCTTCAACGACGCTAATCAAGACATGGCATTTCTAACTGTATCGTCCTCTACACTGTTATATAAAAGGATCACATAAGAGTTCATGAAATTCAGTGTCAGGCTATAGCTAAACTAACATGAGTTTAGCCAATTATCATCACAAGCAAGAATCAAAAAGAATAAGTACGTTGTACCTTGCTGTATGACAGAAGCCCTGACTCTTTAACAGGAGATATTGAACAAGGTACTCTATTGCAATTAATATGCAGGCACTTGACATCCAGGAGAGCAAAAGGCAAAAGCCTTGGACTTGCATTATAAGTACAAGAAATTAAAAACACACTGCCACAGCATCAGAGTTACACGTCAGAACTGATTCACCCAATAATTCCAGACTCAAATTTGTAACATCTGCTTGACTACAGCATCTCTTTCAGAAAGACATCTGCTACTCACTCAGAGGACACAGAGCTTTCCAGTGATCTTCAGTATCTTTCAACAAGAGCTTTTCAATAAGTAATTAAGTACAACTAGCTTTTAATTTAGCAAATAAACACTGATGCTTGGGAAAGTAATTTAGACTGCCAACTCCTGAAAAGACCTGGAAATTGCTTCAAGTAGAAACATAATCTGAAGACTTTTCTGTCTCCTGGCAGACAGAAACTAGCACCAGGTGTCCAGACTGGCATAAACATTAGAAACAAACACAATATGAAGTCCTTAAAACTCTGCCTGATTTTGGAAGGCCATCTGCTACTTAATCAGCTGCCATTTTCCCCCTTGCCATGCAAACAGACATGCACATCAACAAGATCAGATAATTTCTGCTTCTTATTCGAGCATATTCTGCAGTGACACAGAGACAGCTGACATCAAAAGGGTATCTATCATGAGCCTTCCAGAAAAACCTGTTACTCTATATGATTCTTCTATGTGCTTTTTTTAAAAAGCCACAACACGAGCTTTAATCATTACTTACCCAACTGTGGCTAAAGAGCAAAAACTGCATTCAAATTTCCTTGCCATACTTTTATTTGGTTACAGTTAAAACCTCCTTATGCTCCACTGAAAAGCAAGTGACAGATAGCCCAGACTGTATATTCCAAGAGTTGCATCGCCAGAAGACAGCAAGCAGAAAAATACACAAGACTCTTTACCAATCCCTTGGCTTACAGAATTACTTGTTACAAAATTTTTCTTTCAAGAAAAGAAGCAATATACTAACAGAATGCATAAATCTAATTTAAGTTGCACCACCAAAAACATAAAAATATGTAAAAAAAACTCACCAGAACCCCAACAAGATAAGCTTTGGTGTCTATTTCTTCCAAAAGTACCTATGATGTTCAGGAAAAAAAAAAAAGGGAGAATTACACTTCAAGCCAGTAAGGGGCAAAGGGGCAGTGGGAGTGCTTTTTTTTTTTTTTCTTAAGAATCTTTACACAAGTTCCTCTAACTTCACAATTTGTTTCTTTCTTGCAATGGCTTGATGGCATGTTCAACAGCAAGATTTAGCATTAAAAGGTTAAACTATTTGGAAAATGCAGGTGCATTCCCAGTAACTTTTTTCCCACCACAACTATCATCCTTCATTTAAGCGAAGTAGCACCATTTCATTTTACTCATATACAAATGCAGCTAATAAAAAACCCAATCATCTACATCACCTACATGCTCCAGTTATTTTATTTGCATAAAGGAGATATAAATTAAAAGCACTCTCAAATGTGCTACCAATCAAGTTATATCTAACTGTAAGCACTGAGAAGGTTAATCTACCCTTAACTGCACTGTTTTAGAGTAATGTGAAATCTAACCTAAGAACTTAATTATTTCAAATTATATTTATTATATGAGAGCACTCCCTCAGTCTGCTAAACGTACGTGTAAAAGTCATGTGCAGAAGTTTATAAGCAGTCTGTTGACAAAACCTTTAAGCCTTCTTCAGGCTTTACAAACAGCATATGATCCAATAGCAAGTATTTCAATAGAAAACAACTTGCTTTGTCCTGTTACTGTACTTGTTTCTTTCACCTCAGCCATGCAAATAGAACTTTGCTTTCAAAGGGAAAATTCTGTCTTATAGAACTTGCCTGAGGATTCATAGCTGTTCTTTTGACTCACTCTTTCAATTGAAATTAGTAATTTTTAACAGTCAATGATAAAACAAGCATCTGATAGACAAACAAGGTGGAGTAAATATCATCAACAGTCAAGGCTGATCAGCACATTCTCAGAAGAATCTTGCTTAAATTAAACAAACTTGGGAAACCTAGTCTGAGTTGTTTTGCAAGTATATCATCTTATAAGTAGGTGACATAACATCATTTCACAGAATCACAGAATCCTAGGGGTTGGAAGGGACCTCGAAAGATCATCTAGTCCAACTCCCCTGCCAGAGCAGGGTTACCTAGAGTACATCACACAAAAACGCATCCAGGCGGGTTTAACAGACATCAAGTATCCCGAGTTCCCATGGGATGCAAGTGTCAAGCACATGGTGAACAGTGAATGCCTCGATTTTTTCCCCCCAGATAAAAGATACCTATAAGGAGGACCTTTCAAAGCCAGCTGCTCTCACTGAAGACATATTCCAGAACATAAGTGAAAAAATTACTTCACCCAACAGCTGATTACCTCTAGCCTCACTGACTCTCCTTGCTGAATGCAGTGGTCCAGCTGATTTTGGTATGCATTGGTTCAGTGAAGTAGGCCTGGCCTTGGCTCCTAGAAGTAGAAGCTTAGATCAGCTTTAGAAGTACAACTATGCCAGCAACTAAAGATATGCCTAATATTACATATTTACAGTTAATTATAAGATGCATAAATTTGCTCAAATAAACACAAAGAGACATCTTACAGAAAATGTAAGCTATATTTAAATTTAACTTTGCTTTACCAGAATTTACATTGGAAGAAATACAAAAACAGTTTTAATAAAGCTTCTAAACAGAAAAAAACCCCATTTGTAAAGATGTCACTTAAACACTAAGATCTAACCACCTAAGTCTCAAAACAGCAGCAAATACAAGTCAGCATCAGAAACACTGGCTGAAAAGGACCTCTGTAGGCCAGCTATTCAGCCTCCTACTCAGAGCAGAGCCAACTACCAAGATGAGATCAGTTGACCATGCTTTTGACTAGCTGAGCCTTACAAACTCCCAGGAAGGCAACAATTTGTAATCATTTCCCATTGACACATCTGGCAGCACTACTACGAGTTGGTACCATCACATTTGTAGCTGTCCTTTTCAATTTATTGTGGACTGTTACAGTATATCCCCTTACTCTCCTTTTTGCCTGACTAAACAAGCTCAACTCACTGGACTTTCCTCACAAGCCATGTGTTCAGAGACCCTAACCATCTTCCTAAGTCTCCAGTTGACACTTCAGTTTCAAACATAAATAAATATAAATAAAATAAAAATAAAAAATAAAACAAAACCAAAAACAAAACCCTCTTGAACCCGGAAAGCCCCAAAGCACAACAGAGTACTCCGAGTAACACTAAGCCAAGGGGGAAATACCGGCTTCTTCAAGCCACACTGCTTTCCCAGGCAAGTGTAGTGGTTCGGTTTGGCAGCTTTTGGTAGCGGGGGAAGGGCCCCAGGGATGGCCCCCATAAGAAGCTGAAAAGCTCTTCCAGCTCCGAAGCAGCTGGCAAGGCTGAGCCATTCGAGAGACAATGGATGCACCTCTGTGATTAACATATGAAAGAACTGGTAAGATCTGAGAGCAGAAAGCAAGCAGAGGAGCTGAGCTGGAGAGGTGAGAGCAGTGCCAGAGGAGAGTTCCCGAGGTTGGTGAGGAAGGGGAAGAAGGTGCCGAAGCCGAAGTCCCCCTGCAGCCCATAGTAAGGTGGCAAGCTATACCCCTGCACTCATGCGGGAGCATGGGAGAGCATCCCTTTAAGGCGCCTGAATGGGTGAATGTGGACCATGCAGCTCACGGAGTTGGATCTGCAGCCATGGAAGACCCCATGCCAGGGCAGGTGACTGTCCATGAAGCAGCCTGTGACTGTGAGAAGCCCACACTGGAGCAAGTCTGCGCCTCGTGGGAAGGACTCATGTTGAAGAGGTTTGTCAAAGATCTGCTCTCATGGGAAAGCAAGGAAGGACTGTAAGGAATCCTTCTCCCTGAGGAGGAAAGAGCAAGCAGGAAGCACCAGACTGTGGACTAACTCTGAACCCCATTCCTTGTCCCCCTGTGCCTCTGGGGGGAAGGCGGTAGAGAAATCGGGAACAAAGTAATTTGGTCCTGGGAAGAAGAGAGGGGTGGGGTAACATATTTAAGCACTGCTTTTTGTTTTGTCTGTGTTTCACACTTGATTAGTGACAAATGAAATCGGGTTTTTTTTCCCCAAGTCTGTTTTGCCCGTGACCATAAATGGTGAGTGAAACCCTCCTTGTCCTTTCTCTCGACCTACAAGATTCTAGTTCACTTTTGTCTTCCCCATCTGGCAGTGTGGTGGAGGGTTGGTCAGTGAGTGGCCGTGCGGTTGGTTCTTGGTTATCTATCGGGCTCAAACCATGACAGTGATGAACACACACTTCTAACACCCAGGTCACTCAGGATGTTGAGCAATGCACAGTTGTGCTGCACATGTTGGACTCTTAACAGAAAGCCTCGGCTCATAAACCAGCCATATAACTTGTGTTTGCTTCAAAGTGATTTACAGTTTGTGGCAAATTCTGTTTCTTTTCACTGTGTAGCATTTTAAAGTGTGTCATTATAGCATGACATTTGGCAGGCATCTCTTCTATTTGTTTTTAAGCATGTTAGATACCAATTTAAAACTTAAGCCCAAAGCAGAAGCATAGTATTTAATTAGGTTTATCCAATTACAATAATCAGTTCACCACAAAGGTGGTCACAAGCAAGCTGATTATAACTAGGATTTAGGACAGAGACAACAGGCTTACCTATCTGCTCCCATTATGTCTTTAATTTTGGCCAGAGAATGAGCTGTAAACTGCTGCTTGTGGCTTAAGTGTAGAAGCACTGTTGGCCAATCAAGGGGTCCTACTTGAATATGAATAGGAACCACAACAGCATATAATAAGCCCAGAAAGTACTTTTAATGTTTCCTTTAGCACCAGATGAAGCACAATTGTCTTATCCCCCCTAAAGTCAGAGTAAACGTCCTCTTCCACTTCAGCCACTAAGAAGAACATGAAGAAAAAGCAGCATAAAGAGCTAAGCTGTTTCTAGGACTTTTAATTCATTTACAGAAGAAGATACTTCATCTAATACCTTACTGAAAAATAACATACCCATCCCGAAAGGTCACTTCTGTCCTAAAAGAGGTCAAGATAATATAAAGTATGCATGAGGACAAGAACCATACACTCAGAATAAATTCCCTGCAGATCATCAGTAGCCACAAAGTCTGTGCCTGAGCTTTGTGACAGAAGTCTTACTAAATGAACCTGCCACACAGCAAAGTATTTGAGTGCCTGTGCCATAACAACCTCAGCCACATCACAGTGCAGACCTCCTCCTCATTTAACTGAAATTCGCCAGTTAGCTATAACAATACAAAGGACATTTTAGCCTTCCTATGAAATCTTCCAAAACCTCAGGCATCACTGATGTGATTTTACTTCCTTGCACTATTTTCTGAGACCAGTGTTTAGTAAGCACTGATGCAGGGGAAGCCACCTGCAGAAGTAAGATATCGTAACATTACTAACTATACAGATCTGTTCATAGAAAAAGTGAAACTATACCTTTTGGAGTTGACTTCAACGAGTGTAATCTAGGTCTTGGTACTGCTTTCAAAGGCACAGATCCCGAGGTACCATTTTGGCAGGCTGGTTTTGAAGGCCATTCTCCATTCTTGATGATGACTGTGGTACTTGCAGCTGCAACACAGAACAACAAAGAAATATGCTCAAGGCAGAATCCAGTTTGGAGAAAATTAAATACTAAAACAAGTGTATTTTACCCAAGGTTAAAATCAAGAGAAACACACGTTGGAATAAAAATACTACGACCACCTCTGGCATCTTCAGTACAGACTGATGACCAGATCAGTCTATCACTTCTCATAATTAGACACACAGCTTGGAACTATGCATAAAAGAGGGATTTATCTAAAAAAAGTATATTAATCAAGACACAGAAGTCAAAATCTGAACTTGCTGGACAAAGCAAGGGCAGAGCACAATTTAAGACAAGAAAAAGCATCATCAGTACACAAAGATGTCCTTGCCTGAAAACCAGCTGTTAAAAAAAACAAAAAACCTCAGACAACTTCCTCATGCAACACCTTCCCCTCTTCTCTCTCATTTGAGCTGAGCACTCCGTTTCAAAGATATGGTGCCCACTCCAACAGCAGACTCTGCCCTCCTGGCAGGGCACTAAAAAACATGAGAGCCCAACTGCATTCACAGACTACCAAACAAGTTTTAAGAACGATTCCTGTCATCTCCATTCATAACCAGCAGCTTCCTCAGAGACAGCAGACTCTGGATCTGGAGACCGTGTCTGACACAGACAGACCCAAGCAGGGAAAGGCAGAACAACAAGCAACTGCTACCTCACATAAAAATCAGGTTTAAAGCTAACAGGGCAGTTTCTAAAGATGTTTTGTTCCATTTCAAAGGAACTTGTGAGATGTTTGAGGTCTTTGTCACAATTAACATTTTTCCTTGAAAAAAAGAAAACTGAAATTTGCAGATACCAATATTCTATTTTTCCAGAAAACTATGAAAACACTTCTAAATTATATATACCAACACAAGAGTAAGAAACTAACACTGCATTACCAGAGACAAGCAAAAACTATATCACACCAGAAGAGTTAGTCACAATATTGCTTTTTTCTATAGTTATTCAATAGAGGGGGGAACAAAAGCGGGAGAGGGACATCATATAACATCAGGTTTGCCTCCAATTGGTATTTTGATAAGGCTGATTTTTTTAAAGGTAATGTAAACTACACATCTAATATTGTTCAAAGACGGAACATGAAGAATTGAGATTATTTTAATATCGTTAAATGCTCTGGCATAAACCATGTAAGAGAACTGCTTCAAAAAGATGCTTTTTGGTCACTAATCAACACATTTTCAACCACAGAAAGAGGGACAGAACTGCTTTCCCTTTAGAAATATGTAACTGAAGTCCTCCTCTTTTTATGTCATTTAAGTTGTAGCCTCACTAAAGGCATAAAAGCTAAGTATTCGCAAAAAAAACCCTATACATACTGAATAATTTGTGTCACACATCAACAACAGTCATTCTGTGAGAGTCTGATGCTAATCAGTATCAGATTATTCAAGCCAATTTGTTTTAGCAAAGCATAAATTGTGAAGCAGTCCTTAACTTTCTCTGTAAATCACTAAATTAAGGCTTGTTACTCAGAGTTCACTGCAAGCAGCCAACAACTGCATAAGAACTGCTGTGCTACCTTCTAAATCAGAAAGGTGCCACAGAAGTAACACCTCAGGTAAGCAAGCACACTTCTGCTGCAGGACTAGTTAGGACACTGCTTTGTCCTATTAGAAGCTCTGGAGTCAGGTAACAGGCTGTGTGCAGAAAAAGGCAAGTTTCATCACTATACAATTCAAAGACAGTTAATAATAGAATTAGGAGTAAATACTGCAATCTTGAAAGGCATAAAGTGATCCCACCCTAAGATCTAAAAGGTTTAAAACTTCAACTCATTAAATGAACTTTAGTGAAGAATTGGCTGAAATCCAGCGCCAGCTCAAATGCTAGGATCAGCTTTTTAACTTCTGAAACACTATTGCCTTTATATACTAATGCAGTTCAAATTTGCATTCTTGTTCTTAACCTCAGAGATAAACATTTTGGTATGTTCAAAGGATATTATTTTCAGCTCAGCACTGCTATTGAGAAGATATGTCTGCTGTTAAAAATTCAATTTTTCAATGCTTAAACAGACAATTTGCACACAAAATATACTGTAATTAAAACAGCATTTCAAACTTAATGATTTCCAAACTTCTCAAATAATAAGTATTTTCAAAACTTCCTCATGTTGTCACAGGAAATTACCAATCCAAGGACTTCCCATAACAAAGGGCTGAGCTGACACAGCAGGAGAAATGCTCTCCTTTTTAATTCTCTTCTCTGCTAACAGAAGGCAAACTCCTTAAGCAAAACAAGCTAAACTACTTTGTCAATGTAATACTGTTGACAGAACCACAATAGTTTGTCATAAATTTCATTACAATAACAACATAAGCCTCCCATCTTGATCTTTGTGTGTACCACCAATCTAATAAAAACATTTGTTTAAAAATATAGATTATTTTTTTCCTGATGTTATTCTGTGGTAGAATAAATGAAAGAACAAAAAAATTCAAAACCAGAACTGTGCTTAATACTAGAGTACAAAGTAAATTCATTAGTTCTTTCCCATTTGATTCAAAGTAATGAAAACTTCAGTTTACTAACATATTAATTATATGTGATCTAAACTCCTTATACCCACAAAACCTGACCATCATAAATAATTATCACCAACTGTAGGAAACTAAAGAAAAATAATCTCACAGCAAATCAGTAAGCCAAAACCATACATTTACCAACCACCAAATACAACAAAAACATACTTTAAAACAGAAATTAAAAGAAACAAAACCTACTTTTTTTTCCGGTAAACGTGGCTAACAAAGGAATAATACAAAAGCTGTAAGATCCCACTACCAGCAGCGTCAGTAAGGTAATATCATAGTGGCTTCCTGAGTCAGTCGGTGGTGTTAGTGTAGAATTGATGAAAACAACAGGAGAAAAATTAGTATCTGTGCAACTGCGGAGCCCTCCTGGTATAGTCATTTAAAAAAGATCAAAGCAAGCTTAAAGCCAAAGAGACTGCAGCCATGCTCAGCCTCTCATATTGCTCAGGCTGGTTCTTCGTGAATCGAAGTGGAAAAAATTGTAAGCTTGAAGGCAGCGAACAAAACAGATTAAACCAGCTAGCAAATCAGGCTCAATAAGGAGTCATCTGTTTGGATACTTAATCTGAAAACACTTCGTTATGAAGCAACGACCCTTTCCTTTGTTACATGAGTGAGTAAAATAAAGACAAGACACAGCTGCTTTAAGAATTGCATATACGGTGCTAAACCTGAACAGCAAAAGTCAACATGGCTGTCACAGTAACCAAACCGACCTGATTACACAGGAACATGCACTGCATATTTTATTATGCATACTCTTATTCCTTTGAGGAATATGTTAGCTCTTAGTTTTTTAATGAGGGCACTACAAGGGAAAAAAAAACATAAAACAAAACAAGAGAAAATTTAATTACATATGAATGTATGCCTATGCGCATACATAAGCTATAGGCGTATATTAAATCACAGTTCTCTTTTCCAGTCCATTGAAGACAGATATAAATTGACATCTGGTACAAAGGAAAGGCCCTTGCCCAGTCTCCAAGATGTAACAGATGTGATAATAACAGAATATTTGAATATACTTATTTGAATACACATAGCTGGGAAGACTGATATACCTGACAGTCAGTCGTGTGTTATTTCCTTCACATTTTTGCCCCCACAACTTCTGCAACTGCTGATACAGGCCCTTTGCAGAGCTTCAAATCAAAGCCAGCTCTATCATTTTTCTCTCCAGTTTTAATCAAGAATTTGGTTCGAGTCATACATCAATGCTTAGAGTTATCTTAGAAATTATAGAAGTCTACTCGCTTAAAGTTTTACCTGCTAAAAGCAGTTTCACTCACCTGCTTTTGATCTCATCTATGCTTTTTGTCTTAAAACCCTGAAAATACATATATTCTAGTTCGAAAAATGTAGTATCAAAAACCTGTAACACGTTCCTCCAAATATGACAGGTAATCCACTCACACTACTCAGACATAATTTTTTATTACACTGTATGTTAACACAATGAAACTTTTCTTGGGAAGATCCGCTGGTTTTTTGATGTTTCAGCACAGAAAAGGAATGGCTACTGAAACCTCTACCCATTAAAACAAAATCCAAGGTTTAAATCTCCTTCAGAGGGCACAACTCATTAAGTTGTACATTAAGAGGCAAGAAGAGTAAGACCTAGAACTAACATTAAGTAGCACAATGAGAATTAACACAGGCCTTTGTTACATAATAGTCCCTTCAAGAAGATTTTTTTTAAAAAACAGTTGATTCTGGCTATCAGTTAAAACCCGTACTTACAGTTACTGCTGAAAAGACTTCTCTCACTCTGAGTGCTGCTGACTGATGAGATGCTAGGTGTTCTCTCAAGCACAGTTCTTTTGACAGGCACTTTGGATTTGGCTAGCAGTTTACTGGAGCTAGCCCAGGAAGCTGGAGAATTTTTCACGGAGGCATGCTTCTCTCCTGGTAAAGATCCTACACCTGTCAAATGGGGTGAAAGGGGGAGGGATCAAAAAGAACAAAAGGAGTTGGTAAGAAGCTTAAAAGACTGCTTCTTCTAAGAATATGCCTACAAGTAAGAATATTTACACATTTAAAATACATATAAAAAGGCTTAATCTACTTCATATTGACATGGTAAATAATGCTGTAATGCAGAATAACCAGTTTCAAGGATTTTAAAGGATCCCGTTTTACCTGCATATTGACCTCAGAAACAAGTCAAAAGCTTTGGAGACTGTTCTTCAAGGCAGACACAAACAAAAACGCCTTACTAGCATTCTCCTACCTCTGTGTATTATGGTTAGCTGTACTGGCAAACCCATAAAAATACACCCTCCAGCTCAATGAACAATTCAAGAAAGATTCTTTTGTTTGTTTCCTACCCCCAAAACTGAGATCTCACCCCACTTAACAGAGCACTCAAAAATCACATCCTTCCAAGGACGAACACAGCACAAGAGTATCAAATTTTGTTGTACTCACAAAATATACTGATAAGCTACTAGTTCTGCAGACCTAGTTAAACAACACTCCCTGGACCAATGGCTTAATGGCCAACTGGTACTGACACATTTTTGCATTAAGTGCTGCTTTCGTTTGAGCTTGTTGAATACAAATGCCCAACAGCTAAGTGAATCAAATAGGAAAAGTATCTGTATAAGAGATAGGTGTGCACCTTCTTCGCACTGGTGCTCACTCTTGTACTGCTAGCAAAGCAATTACATTTCTGCAAGAAATCTGAGTTTAAAGTAAAATTTCAGTTTATTTCTTAAAACCGTGCACCCAGATTAAAACTACAATGGTCCAAGGGAAGTTACGTACACAGTCTTGTCTTGCCAGCACTGAGTTGACTTCTGTCAGCTCTTACATCATGATCTTTACACAGTCCTCTGAATAGCTATGGAAAAGAGCTTTTCATTTTGGTACAGAAATTAGAAGAGAGAGATCACAGCCTTCTATATGTATTTCAAATATAAAACATTTTAACTTCTGATGGCACTGCCATTTTCAAGTCTGACATGACAAAATTAACTCGTAATTCTACTTCAATCATCAGTTTTGCTGCAGGATCTCCACACTAAAATACCAACGACCAAGAAACCATCAATTTGCACTAAACCAAGAAAGCATGACATTAAGGGGATTACATTAAGGCTAAGGCAAGAAATACATTTAGGCCAATGTCGGCTTTTCAACGGTAGGTGGTGTGACAGGATTAGATACCTTCCTTTACTAGTGCTGTACCTATTTTTGCATACTTTTTACAGGGTATTTTGAGGAAAATTACATCCAAGCTACTTCCCTCAGATCAAATCAACCTGGCAACAAAAGCCCTACATACAACATACACTAAACATGCATTAGGATATTATATAATACTGGCCCCTGAATATAACACACGTTAATTAACATGCTTTACACCAGACCTCTCTTCGGAGGTGCACCTTTCGTACTTGTTTGGTATTAGGAAGCGTAACAGTGATTCTGTATATGGCAATGTTATAACCTGGTATTAAACCTCCGAGACAAAATCATCAGCCATCCTTTAGAATTTTTTCTAATGTACTCTAAGGGACGCTGGAGTTTATCCAGGTGGCCACAAACCACAAGCTCACCGTTCCTGAGCACCCCTCTGAAGCAGAGCACTCCAGGCAGCCGATCTGAACTCATCTGCGAGGGTGACCGCAGGCCGCGCTGCCGGGCCGGGCCAGGCCCCACCAGGCCCCTGCCGCTCTCCCGGGGAACCTGCACCGGGGAACCTGCCCCCGGACGCCCA